GCGAAGGAGGGCAGCCACGTGCTGGGAAGCCCGACGCGAGCCAAGGGCTGGAGGGGAACCGACAGAGAGGTTGCAGCTCCTTCCCACTGAGCATCCTTCCCTGCCTGCCTGCGGTTTGGCCAAAACCTCCCGGTGCCCCCTGCAAGGCAGAGCTGCAGCCTAAAGGGGGGACTTTTGTCCCCTTGAAGAACAGGGTGGCAAAGGGAGTGAGCTCTGTGCCCAGCCAAGGGCACATTTATTACCCAGATAACAGGGCTTTGAGGGGCTTTCACTGCTGGTTGCTCTCCCTGGGGGCCAAACCCTGGGTGCTCGGGTGCTGCAGGAGCAGCATGGCCGCTCAGGCTGGCCAGCACCCCCGTGTCACCTTCCTACACCCTGGGACGGAGCCAGATTCAAGAGGAGCTTGTAACACGGGGAGCACAAGCTCATGGCCGCTGCAGCACATCCAGCGTGCACCAGCACCCAACAACAACAAAAACCACAACAGCTGCACAGGTCCCTGTGGGAGGGGGTCCTGGGGGGCTGCACGGGTGCAGGTGAGGCATCCTTGGGCTCCATATGGGTGGTTTGCTTGGGAACTGGGACAACCGGGTCCTGTCCTGGATACCGCTGGAGCACAAAAGCCGCCTCCTCTCTGACTGGTCCCGTTCCAGGGGCAAGAGCCCCTGAGCACCCCAGGTTTGGTTTCCAGCCTGTGCCTGGTGCCCAGAGCTCCTGTTAACCCTCCTGCAGCGTGGAGGCGCTTCCCCGTGCTGAGCCTTAGCTTGTCCCTCTGCAACCCAGGAATGGGGAAGTTCATGTCACCCAGGGGGTGACAGGGTGGACAGGGGACACTGGCAGCAAGGGGGAAGCGTTCCTGCCAGCCCAACAAGCAGCCCTGAGCTTTATTCATTAAATCAATCCTGTTAACATGGCAACCACTTCCATTTTAATTTGCACAGCCACGTTCCACCACGAGCTGCAATATCAAGATCTCAGGAAGATCAAAAAAGAAAAAAAAAAAAAAAGGGAAAAAAAAAAAAGAGAAGAGCCACTTCTGCCCCAGACCTGCTCCCAGGCACCACCAGAGCCAGGTCAGGGCAGCCACCCTTGAGCGGGGAGAGGACAAGGGACTGGGCAGGGTGTTGGGGGGGCTGGGGCATCTCAGCTGAGTACGTCCACAGCATCCTCCTCCCTTGGGTATCACCATCCCACCAGGAGAGGAAGCCACCCCCGCGCCAGAAAAGCGAGCGTGTCCAAGGGGGTGGCTGGAACCTCACCCCGACACCCCTCACTTAGCGTCTCTTTCCCCCTTTCTTCTTCTTCTCCTCACTCTTCGCCTCCTTGGCCGCTTTCTTCTCCTCCTTCAGCTCCTTGTACCTCCACTTGGGCGGCTGCAGCAGGTCCTTGTCCCCTCCCCGCCGCCTCCGCTCCCTCGTGCTGGCGGGCGGGGAGGAGGTTTTGCTCACTTTGATTTTCGGGACGGGCTCTCCGGGGAAGATGCTGTTCACGCGCGGGGGCAGGAAGCCCAGGAGGCCGCTGGCCGGCTGGCGCGGTGGCAGGAGCCGGATCTCCGACATGGCTTGGCCGTTGCAAGAGGAAGCGCCGGTGCTGGGGCACGAGGTGGGGTCTGGCTCAGCCTCCAGGTCCGGCACGTGCTGCCCGAGGATCTCCGGCACGGACAGCCTGCGCTTGCCCACCTCTGGGGGGCTGTCGGGGCAGATGGTTTGGCAAGCAGTGGCCACGAAGGGGCTGGCGAGGGAGGTGGTCATCCTCACCATGTGGTCCATCACACCGTCCTCCTCGGGGTCATGGGGGAAGTTGAAGGTGAACATGGATCGGATCTTCTCCGACAGCCTCTTGCCCCTGGATTTGGAGCTCAGGGCCTTGGCCACCAGCTCGGCCAGCGCTGGCCATTCGGGCCGGTACCGGGTGCCGAACTGCTCCGCCCGCGGGCGCTGCAGGAGGCTCCGAATCCGCACGGTCGTCTCGAAGCGGCCCGTGAAGGCTGCCCACTCCCTGGCCGTCTTCCCCTTGATGGAATCCACCGCTTGCAGGTCTGCTCCTGGAGACACCGGGACGCAGAGAGCATCACCTCAGCATCCCACCCTGTCCCACCCCAGAGCGCGGGGCGAGCGGTGATGCCGCCCCTTCCCAAAAACTCCCGGGAACTCCCTGGGGAGATGCTCACCGGCCAGGAGCAGGGCGGCCACGCAGTCCTGCCGCCCCTGCACCGCAGCCTTCATCAGCGCCGTCAGGCCCCGGGGGTCTCGCTTGTCCACCTCGAGCGCAGGGTAGTAGTTGAGGAGGTAGTTGACGATGGTGATGTGTCCTTAACAGCCAGAGAGAAGCTGCGTTAGAGTTTCGACAGTTAACGAATGACAACCGCTGATGCCTGGGGGAGAAAGAGTATTTAGCAGTTGCATCTCGTGAGGATGAAGATGCAGAAACTTGGAGGGATCAGGACTGAAAGTGTTTGGGATTTGGGTTTTTTTTGCTTTGTTTTGGGTTTGGCCATGCAGGGAACAGCGCTGGCACACCAGCTGCTTCAGCAGAGACTGCAGGAAAGAGTCCAAACATGCAAAAAAAAAAAAATCATCAATTCTCGCAAGGATAAAGTGGGGATAAAGGGTGATCCCCACTTTGAGACCCTCCTCCTTTTCCCTGCAGTTAATCAGGGCAGAGGGAGCCAGGCTCGTCTGCCCTAACGAGAGAAATCATCGTGACAAGGG